TCCCTGATGAATGCTTGTGCAAATCCTTCTTGTTGAGGGCTTACAAATTTAGGGATGCACAGCTGAAACAACATATACTCACTTATACAGACGTTGTTCTTGATATTCAGATTCCAAGGCCTGAAGGGACTGTTGTGACATCTACTTTGATGTCCTGTATTATACAGATTATAGAACGACCCCAGAAATTGCCAGATTCAAACAGTGACTCAAACTCAGGCAAAATATCACTTAATCTTTCCGTGCCTACCACTAAAAATAACCTGTTTAATGCAATGAGTTGGTAGGAAGTTGCTTAGTTACATCCCCAGACCATTTTGGATCTCAGCTGTTTATTTTTATTAAAAGTCCTTTGCTATGGGAGAGGAAATAAAGTATCTCTTCTCGGGAAATCCTAAGGGGATCTTAGAAATGACCACAATTTGCAGGAAATGTTTACTACTTGAAGATTGAGAAATGTTTTTCCAATGCGGCAGAAGCAGCTGTGTTAAGCACCAGGAAGCATTCCATGAACCAGTTTGAAAACCAATATACTGAACTACTTAAACAAATGATTAAATACAAAAGGACAATTTCAGATACTTTAGACCATTTTTAATTTCTTTTGTTCATGAAAATATCATTCTACCCAGAGATGATTCTCCTCTTTTCCACTGAATAAACTGTGATTTCCTCTTGAAGTTTTTATGAAACAAACCGGCATGACTCAAACCCTTGTATTTGCTGCTTAAGATAGAAATGTTATTCATGTAGTCAACATAGCTCTTGGGAATAATTAACTTTTTGCTCACTTTGCAGTAGCCAAACAATATTAACACTGTCACAGAGGCTATATTAAAAAAATTCTCCATGACTCTAATACTACAGTGATGGGCACTATAGAAAAATTATAGATAGTAAAAGAGAGTGTAAAAATAGATTAGAGGATATTTCCCACCAGATTATAAACATTTTAACGCAAAACAGATGTTGCATCTGAAATCTTTGACAGTATCATTTTAAAAACAAAAACATTTCACAGAGTGGTTTTCTTTTTTTTTAAAAAGTGCTAACTGCATTTATCAGTATTTCTTTATGAATAATTTTTTATCCTTATATAATTAGTTGGTGACAACCAATTATTTTGAGAGAGACACTAACACATAAATGTTCTTCGTTGATATTACTACTGAGAATTATCTGATGCCACTTTAACCAACTCAGGAAAAAAAAAAAAGAAGCAAGTTTCTTGTGAATGATGCAAAGATACCTTTATATTCTTCTGTTAGGAACCCCACACTTTCCCTTAACATTTTTCAGTGTGATTTAAAAATACAGACTTAAAAATCACATTTCTATAGGGATTTTGTTCCCCTACTTTAGGCCTCCAGTCCCACAACTCACTGTGCAGAGGTGCAACTCTGTATCTACAGTTATACTGACTTGAATGGGGCTGTGTGCCGGCACACTGGTGTGCCCACATGCAGCGAACTGGGCCAATATTAACACTGTAATGGATACTGATAGGCTAAAATGATCTCTCTCATAGTTAGTTGTATATTTGACAGCCTCTTCCTTATAGTCAGTTTCATTGCTTCCACCATGTAGTCTTCTAGGCTCTAATTCTGGTAAGCACTTAAGCATGGTCTTAACACATCTATCAGAATCAAGTACATACTTAAGTGCTTTACTGAACTGGGGCCTAAAGGTCTGACTTGTAGAAGTTCCAGGTAACCACACAACTCCAGCTGAAATCAACAGGGGCTGTGGATGCTCAACACTTCTGAAAGTTAGTTATTCTTGGTTTGTGTGGAATCTATTGTGATTTCTCATATTAGTTCAGAAAGCATCTACTATTCAGATCTTCACCTTACTTTCTCATTTTAAGAGTAAGTGATAATTTAGTACAGATGACTGCAAGAGGTGTGTTTATCAGTCACTATACTATTACCATAAAAAACAGCAAGAAACAAATAAAAAGACAACTCTGTATAAAATCTTATATATATAAATATATAGGGGAGCAGAAAACCCAACTCCTCCTCCGACGAGTCAGCAGACCTTGAAAATATAAGATTCCTCCCATTTATTTTTTATCATCATTTTAGGTTATCTACTACATCATATCAGGGTAAGAAATTTCTCCTCTTATGTGCATATGTCCCATTAATGGGTTCATATGTACATATATTAACTCATTATGTACATTACACAAAATGGAGTTGCTATAACAGATTGCCCATCTGTTATTTGTAATGAGAACTAAGCAGTTTTGTGGTCAGGAAATAAGTACATATGGCTTGCTAAAGGCAAGTTTTATTTATTTTTTTATGAAAATGGCGAAAATGAATCAAGTATTAAAAAGATTGTTCTTGTGTTTCCTATATATATACTGGTCAGTCAGGTCAGCGGACTGGGCTGAGGGCATCATAGAGTCTCTGTGCAGCCAACTCCACCATTTCCCGAAGGGATTCATCATCTTCATTTCCTGGCTCACATTCAGCAGTCTGGAAGAAGAGATGTGTGTAATCAAGGAGTCAGAATCAAACAGCCCTGTAAATTTACCTTTTTTAAAAAAATTGTAAGTAAAGCCAATTAGGAGAAGGAATAGTAGATGACAGTCTAAGCAGCAATAAAACATGTCCTACAGTGGTGAAGCAAATTGTAAGGAAAAGTATCAAGAGATTTCAGCTGCATTGCAGTCTTTTAAGCGGTTTGGCTACACAGAAGATAGTTCAGCAAAAGATTTACATCAGTCTTGCTGAGAAACAACAAAACTAGATAAAAGTTTGTGCTTGATTAGTCAGTAATTTTGGAATTATTGAATAGTAAGTCTAGTTTTGTGAACTAGATTTGGTTCAAAATCAAGTCTGAATCCAAGTGGCACCCCAAAGTTTTTAACTTAATCTGTGACCTCATCTGCATTGTACTAAGTTATTTTAGGTAGAAGCTTGGAAACAATATAGAGTGCCAATCAACACCTCTGCTGTAAATAATTCAATTTTAACCCACGCATGGTCACCTGGGCATTCAGAAAATAAAGTTTATTTCAAAATAAAATCCATTGCCTCTTTTACTCATTAAAGCAATTCATTCTTTTATTGAGAGGCAAAACATCTATGTATACTTGAAACTTGCCAATTCACCCACGTAGAGAAGCCCATTGACAGTAGTAGCTCTTTGACTCATGTAACTAACAAATGGCAGCAAACAAGGATTTATATTTTTGGTGGGTCTTGTGGCTCTTTTAGTCTGAAAGACACTATTTACTCCCTTCTACTCTTAACTTGTCTCCTTTCTGGACAGGCACCCCAGCCAGGAGGTCAAACAAAAGCTCCACCTTAAAAGCAGATGAAAATGATGCTTGGATGATCCCTCTTCTGCAGCGAAGTGTAACCTGGAACCAAAACCCATCTGCCGAGCAACATCCCTGTGCTCCACTAAGCCCAGATGCAAAAACCAAATGCTATGATCCATTGTGCACAAATCTGAACCCAACCCTACTTAACATTTAGTGTTTTTCTTTTTTGTTAAATCCCTGCTTTTTAAAATAGAAGCTTTTGGCAATTATCCATTTCTTTATGGTTTCTTAGTGCTGATTAAGGTGAATCACTCAGGCACTTTTAGTTCAGGAGAAAGGAGAGACTACGTAGAGTATCAAGTATCAGAGGGGTAGCCGTGTTAGTCTGAATCTGTAAAAAGCAACAGAGGGTCCTGTGGCACCTTTAAGACTAACAGAAGTATTGAGAGCATAAGCTTTCGTGGGTAAGAACCTCACTTCTTCAGATGCAAGAAGAGTATATAACTATACTGGCAAATCCTCCTAGTGTAGATGTAACTTATACTGGCAAAAGAGTGCTTTGGCTGGCATAGCTTATACTGGTTCAATGCATGAAATAAGATATAACGTCAAAAGGACTTTTATGCCAACATAACTGTGTCGACACTAGGGCTTTTGCCAATATAGAAGGGGGGGAGGAGGGAGATGAGAGAAATCACATCTCTCACCAACATTACTATATTGGCAAAAGTTTCTAGAGTACACAGGGCCTGGTACAATGCCACTGAAGTCAGTGGTGTGTACACCAGTATAAATTATATAAAATACAATACTTAAATATATTTTGATTAAGCAGTAAAAGTTTCTCTCTAGGCTTCTGGTACTTTTGTCTCTTCCCTCTTCCACATGGTCTAAACAATCTGGGGCAGGGACCATCTTTTTGTGTTTGTACATCACCTAGTACAATGGGGTTCTAATTCATGTCGGGGGACCACTAGTTTACAATACTGGAGGATATTAACCATTTATTTCACCACAACGTTGTTCTAATCATCAGGTGTACATCATCTTCCTAAAACCAAGTTTCAATACATTTCAGCTTTACCTCTTAAGCTAACTGATAAATAGACAAGATATTTCACTCTCTCTGTGGGCATCGCTGATTTTGGATTTAGTGACTCAAGGATCAAGATGGGCAAATCTGCTTTGCTTGGCACATTTTCTACTGGATGATTGTTTGCCTTTATTTAGACTGGAGACTATATTTTAAGAGTCTAAAAGTTCTAAATCAGTAAGTTATATCAGTTATTCTATCTCTACCATCTGTTTTTATATATTTTTATTTAATTGCAATTTTACTTATAGCAAGTACGGTTGCTACAAAGAAAAATATTGAAAGTTTCTCTTTCAAAAGCAGAAGAATCAGATGTTAGTTTTTTCCCTGAAAGATTTCTGAATAGGATTTATCTGTTGTGATGCTGCGTATCAAAATAGGTCCCATAGCAAGTGGTACACAATATTCATGGGAACATTACCATTACACATCAGACTTTAGAGCTCCATGAGACAGATATTTTGTCTTTTTTTGCCTATTCGCTCCTATAGCACAATTCAAATAATATCAATGAATTTAACTATACATACCCGTGTGTCCAATGAAATATTTGCAGTTTTTCCATCCACTGTGACACTTAGAACAGAGCCATCTTTTGCACTAACACAGTCCTCTCCAAACATGTCCCTAAAAGAAAGGCCTATAATTGTAAAAACATAGCTAAATAGCAAACTAGTTTTTCTTTTTCTTTTAAATTATCTTTGGATTCCAGACAGATTCTGTTAGCATGGTATCTGGTTTCAGTCACTCACTGGGTTACTTAACTTTAAAATTATAGATGACAAATACTGACCTCAGTTGTTATTAAAGTGGATATTTAAACAACGTTAAGGATTTTACTGAAAAAAAATCTGTTAGTAAGTAAGGGCCAAAAGTCCCACTGACTTCAGCAAGTGCAACTTCCCCTTCTCCTCCCCGCCCCAAGCTTCTATGGAACAGGGAACAAATGTCAAGGCAAGTCTACCAAAAATATAGATATTACAGGATTTCAAAATACAGTATGTTAGTAAGAAGGGATTGTGATGGATATTGCAATTCCATGCAATATCTTTGGGGACCATATTGCATCACTGTGGACCAGGTATTGTATGCAACTCCAGTGGGAGGGTTATCACAGCTCCTTCAGGAACCAAAACCAGTGTGTGTGTGGGGGGAGAGGGGGGAGGGTTAGGTGAATTACTCAAGGTGTAAATACCCCCAAATGGTCCCACCCCCTGGGGAGTCTTGCATATATTGGTTCACAATAGATTTTCCAGAGACCAACAGGCAAAGAAAGAGTTTTTCACAGAAAAAGGCTGCATTTAAACTGACCAAGGCCTTCTTTCAGATCCAGCAAACAGACAGGACCTTCTGTCCAAGGAGGCCCCAACCCTTCCGAAAGGGTTGGAAAGACGGATGGGTGACTTCTGGTAAGTTTTTAGCATGTGTACAAGAACTTGTATTGTTTTGATAGGTTTTCTCTAACGTTTTTAGCTTAAGAATAAACATGCGAACTCAGAAAGAGCCGTGTGTTAATTTGTAACTGCTGGCAATACACTGTTCATAGCCCTCAGAAAGCCCAGGAACTGGCCTTTAGGCAGACTGGCTTGCTGGGGATATCAATGTCAAGCAGGGCACTGTGGAGCCTTAAAACCCCAATCAGAAGGGAGTAGGACAAGTGTCCCCCTGCCCAGAGACAGGCAACAGCGGGAGACCTGAGACCTGTCTGGGCAGTCCTGAAATGGACCACCGAAGGGGGAATATAGGTGCAGTTACCCTGAAACTGTGACAGTGATGGCTTGATTTTCAGGGGTTCTGAGTACCTACAGCTCTCATTGAAGTCAATGGGAAGTACAGATCCTCAGCATCTCTAAAACAAATAAATATCACCACGCCCTTGGTTCAAAAAATTTAAATGATCAGAAAAAAATATCCTGAAACAGTCTGTTAGGATATTGCAGGATTTATTACCTTTTATCCTTTGGTTTACTTAATTATTGAGATTCATAGAAATGAAACTGATATAAACCTCTGCAGCCTTTTTGAATTACAGTACATGCAAACAATGAAATGGGCAAAATGTAGGAGAGAACTGTGTTTCTTTAAAGGCCATATATTTGGTGGCCATATATATTATGCTAAAATCACCACATTTGCATGGCAAACAAATAATGTTTCTAACTGACCATTTTCAGTTATTAATAATATGACAAGCCAACTTACTGAAGCATGATCTCCATCCTTTTGCTAAATACATCCATATCTACTTTTTTGGAAATCTTATGCACTGCAGCTGAAAAAAATAAAGAAGTCAGCATTAGGTTTTCATTGACATTTCTTGTGTTGTATTTTCTTCTTGCAAATGTCTACCATTACATATAGTTAATTTACAAAGTTTACATACACAGCTCTCATCAATTTTCATAGATGAGCAAGAGCATATGAAGGCAGAATTTGGTTTGGCCCTTAATGTGAAGAAGAATGTATGTGTTCCAAGCATAAAGGTATGTATTGGCAAAGAGTATATAGTATAGACCACAGAGGATATGAGTATCAGAGGGGTAGCCGTGTTAGTCTGAATCTGTAAAAAGCAACAGAGGGTCCTGTGGCACCTTTGAGACTAACAGAAGTATTGGGAGCATAAGCTTTCGTGGGTATGAATAGAGGATATGAGAACTTTTAGACTATTTTTGCAATGTGCATTACTGTTATTTATCCAACTTTAAATTTCTACTACTATCATGCTGCACAGTCCCCATAAATGTTCATCCTCTTGGAGAGTCACACCATTCTTCATACTTTCTACTAACTGAAAACAACTTCACCAGTACATTTCAATCCATCATGCAGTTCCTGTTCCACTTCATGAATACAATAAAATACAGGCTCATATATGAAACTAGTCATAAGACACCACCACTATTAGTCCCAGCAAAGTTGCTTTGTTACTTGAGCTAATCAGCAACCTCACATCCAGCATCTGATACAATAAGTCTGTTATGACCTAGTAATGCTATTTGGTTACTGATGTCAATGGGTATATATCTAAAACTAGGCAAAATACAAACATTACTAAACAGGACTTTCAAATGAGAGGCTAAAATAAATATTTAGATGTGGTACCGTGAATCACTTACAATGTTAAATTTTGCTTTCTTTTAGCTTTGTACATGTAAACCACTTCATCTGTTCCGTAATAATATGGCTGTAATTTTTCCATATATTAATGCACAAGTTGCCATTTACATATAAAAGAATCCAATTAACCAACAATGCAAATCAAATCAGTTTTGTTTTTAAACAGCAAGGCTGTTTGCTCATTAATAAGTGTTTTGCTTCATAATGAAAATACATTTATCATAATGTAAAAAGTCTGCTAAGATTCTCAACAGCAGAGATGCTAAGGAGTATGCTACAATTAAATACACACAAATTAAATGTAATACCTTTCTGTATTTTGGGATTTGACTGAACTTCCAGGATCACTGTTGTTACAGTGTCTGCATACATATCATTTGCAGGATTTGCCACCCACTGAAAAATAATAATAATTAATAATAATACTCTGGCAATAGCATAATCTGGACTGAATGAATAATACAACATAAAAATGTCATAACAGCCATGAAATTCTCTTGACTCTATACTCTGATTTGTGCTGAAGAGGCTAACGTCCATAGCCTTGGATACATTTTGCACTATATTAATTTTAAAATAAATATAACTTTGTAAATTGAAAATGGAGTCACCTAGAAGTTCTCCATTCCCCACCATGACACATTCTCGGATTCCAGAGGCTCCTTCTCCTTTGTTTTCACTCTCTTTGGACACACTGGAGGGATTACTATCAAACGATCGGAGATGCTACTTCAGGAAATGAACATAGTCTTGGCATTATTTTCAACTACTATTTGCCAGGGAGAATATGGCACTGGGTCTGAAATCTGGACTATAGAATTGCTCTATTACTTTTAAAGCATTTCTACAGTGCTAGTTAATGACTAGCACTGATAGGCAAGTGCCTCCTCAGAAAGGTGTTAGTAAAGTTTCTCTCTAATACTAGTGGCAAGAACAGTGATGCTTACACATCAAACCTCCTGGGGTATCTAACTGCAGTGAAGAAGTGAAATAAACATTTTAAAATGACACATATCAGAGTAAGATGATCACTGAAGGAAACTTTACCAGTGACCTTACACCTTTAACTTGATACCCAGCACAAATAACCTAATGATCTCTCATTTAACTCAGCACCAAAGCCACTGTCCGTGACATTGGTTTCTACAAAACAGGGACTGGAAATTTTCTCTCCCCTCCTTTTCACACTTACCTCAAGTACCACCATGCCAGGTTCCTGGATCACAGTAATATTTCTGAAAACCTTCAAGGCTGGCTTTTGCTGGATTTCAATTTCCTCTACATCACCTACAATGTGGCAAAAATTGCTTAATGAGAGCAAATTACATAGCAACAAAAGTTATTATAAATCAGAGTACCTATATTTGCACAGGAAAATATATCTGGTTTAAACAAATGCTGAAGGATTTAAAACCCTTCTATTTCAGTGGGGTTCTCTGTTTTAGAGTGTGTGGGCCATATATATGCAATTCATTTCTTCCCCCTCAAACACATACTCCTCCACACACTCCATGACACTTTTTGGCTTTTTAGGGTGTAATACTGGCCATATTAGCTGTTCTGGTCGATATGTTTTAATAGTGCAGTGCATTAACTAAAGCACACCAGTAGAAAAAAGTAGCTTAGGGCTAAATTCACAAAGAAAGTACGTGTAGTGATCCCACCTCCCTCATAACTGGTTCAAAGTCCCTCCTTCACCTGAAGGGGAGAAGGGATTTGAACTCTGATCTCCCAGTTCTCAGGTGTGTGCCCTAACCACTGGGCTATATTCTGATATTCTGATGTGGAGCTACCTGAGGGCTAGTCTACACTGGCAACACTTTAATGTGGCTTGTGTGGTCGTGGCAGAGCGCTGGCGGAGAGGTCTCCCAGCACTCTAAAAAAACCCACCTCCACGAGGGGTGTAGCTACCAGTGCTGGGAGCGCTATTACTTGTCTTATCCTCTAGGTCTGAACTAACTGATGCTTTAATAATTTGTTCCAGTATTTTTCCACATAACAAAGCTAGGCTGACTGCTTGTGATTTTCTGGGTCCTCCTTTTTCAATATAGCTACTGTTTTCTCCAGTCCTCTGGGACTTCACCCATCCTCCATGAGTTCTCAAAGAAAATCATTAATGGTTCAGAGATTGGGTTGGCTAGTTCTTTAAGTACCCTTGGATGAATTTCATCAAGCCGTGCCAACTTGAATACATCTAACTTGTCTGAGTATTCTATAACCTGTTCTTTCCCTATTCTGGCTCGAGGCCCTTCTCCCTTGTTGTTAATATTAATTGTGTTAAGTATCTGGGCACAATTAACTTTGTTAGTGAAGACTGCTAGAAAGATGCTAGATCTCACAAATACCAAGTTTTTAACCGGTGTAGAAAACAACACATTGTAAGAATATTTTCTTGTGTAAAAAGTAATGTATGGAATTGTAAAATAGCCAAGCAAATAGTAAAGTGGCCTGGACAGCCTCAGAATTAAATGAATGTAAATCATGCAGTCAGATACAACAAACAAAGGTTGAGATTGTCAAAGAAGTCTAGAAGATTTAGACACATCTTCCATTATTTTAACTCAAATATTTTCAATTAAATAAACAACCTGCTTCTATCTTCGTCTTCTAAAAAAAAATTAGACTTTAAGGTTGACTGATTCTTTTCTCAAGAGGAAACTAAGTAAATGGTGAGGTATATGACTATCATTTTTAGCTCATCCCAGTGAATGTACAATACACTTACTAAGATGCCAAGGAAGAAAAAAAATTGATTTTCTTTGCCTTTGTTTTATACCCATTTCTCATTCTGGAGAAAGTGTCTCAGCAAGCAGCATCCAAAAGGCAGGACTTAAAATTTGCTCACTATTTCACTGACAATTTGGGAAGGTGTGCTTCCTGTTTTGGTTAATCACTACTTTCCCAAATACTTATGAACCCCAGGATCAAATTCCTTAAGCTTTTATACATATGTTGTCTACAAAGTTAAAGAAAAAAAGCACTAGAAATACAGACTAACACATCAGAAGGAGGCTCCATATAGTTGGATGGTGGGTCAGTGCTTGTTGCGCCTCTGAAGCTGGGAGAGGGAGAGTTGTGGCAACTGGGAGGCAGGGCAAACTTGCCACCAGTTTCAGGCAGGTTTGTACTCAGCATGGCTCAGCCATGCCTCTGCTGCCATTACCTGTGCTACTGTGGTTACATTACTATTTATACTCCTGCTAGCTCACTGCACACTAGTAGGGGAATCACACTACTGGCTTGCAGTGTAGAGACAGCCTCGAAGATGACTTCTAGCGGCGAGAGAAGGATGCCAGTGAGAATCTAACGAAGCTTGTGAAAATTTGCAACAAATTATTAATAGCTTAGTTAGTAAGAGGATAGCAGAATTTACCACTCAGATTTCCCCAAGAAATAGAATAAACAAAAACCTTTAAAGAAATGACAATAGGTCTTGAACATCTCTTTCAAATGCACACACCTGTCAGTTTCTGTAGCTGGTAATAAAGCAGATTGAAAGGGCCAGAATACGGAATGGCTTGTGTCTGTGTTACAGTGCTCATAGCCAAATCAGTGTAATCTGAAGGAATTAAAAAAGAAAAGGAAGTTAGTCCTTTAAAAGATACTTTCTAAAAAATAGATTTTTCAGTGCTGAGAAATGGTGGCTATTGTTGGTTCCAAAAGCTTACATACAGTTGGCAGAAAACAGAAAAACAAAACAAAAAATCCAGATGCAGTTTACAAGAAGGAGATTGGGTCTGTAATTAAGGCATGGGCAAGGCCCTGTATTTTATGTGGCACATTAGATGTAAATTATGCAGCAGGGATGCACTGTCTCCTACAAGTCCCCTTGTCCTCACTGTCCTATTCAATCAACTTATTGTTCCTTGTATTATTTATTTTGAGAATAAATTTAATTCAAATCATGCTTTCTGCACATTTTAAGTTTTCAATTTGCTGCAAATTTTTGTACTGGAAAGTAATAAATGCATTTTAGAAGTTGTCATGGGAAAGCTTGCTTCGACAACTGGCCAGGGCCCACCTCCACCATCTATGGTATTTTTGGTACCCAGACAGGAATGGGAGGTGGTTTTGGTTTTTGGTACCAGGGAGGGAATGCATTTTTTTCTCTCTCCGTTTTTGGGCAGGGACAGAGGAAGGGTTTGAATTCCTTGTTTCTCGCTCCAGCAACCAACAATAGAAACTAGTTGCCCTACTGCCTCGCCTTAATATCTACACCCAAATCCAACTATGACAAGTAAACATATTAGTTTGATGTTTCTGCTAATGCGATCAGCTGTGAAATTGTTGAAGGTGACAGACTTCACCCACTGAAATGAACGGAGCAGTTAACTTCGTAGGTCTCAACCTCGTTTCAGACTTTCTGCAAATTCAGGTTTGAGAAGTTGTTCTGAAAGCTGTAATTGTTTGTTGTTGATTCTATTTATGCACCATTCCTTGCATCATACCAAACCCAAACTTCACAACATTGTCCAGTATGCACAATGAAAACTCAGATGTGTAGCAGGGCAAGTGGTGCATAGGTTAAGGCCATACAAAAAACAAAAACAAAAACAAAAATGCTGGTCTTTAATACATAGATGCAGTTCAAGGCTTAAGGTTACCATCTGCCATTGCAGGAGGGAAAGGAAAATAATGGCAGAAAGCTTGCAAATGCCAGTGTTCTTTACCCATAAACCCTCTCTATCAGTTTGAATGGTCTCTGACAGGTATTTCATATTACAAACATTCCTGTACTGCTGTAAATAACCCCTATCAAGCAACTTTTCCCCACACTGAGCCTAAATAAAAGTTTAAAAATTGATGTCAGCCAATTACTGATCACACAGAGATTGTAGAAACATAATGCATCAAATATAAGGTCCTATATATCTTTTGCCTTTAGAACAGGAAACTCAGATTAGTTACTGAGCACATGACAGTATGTCATCTTCACTTACTTGAGAGGTCACATGGAGAAAGGATGTGATAGTTAAAGTTTCTTTTAACCAGGATCCCTGAAACGCGCTGTCCTTGCTCTGGCTTTTTATCTGCTAAAAACCCCATCACCTGTCGAAAAGAGAAAAATAAAAATTGTTACAGGGAAAACTGAAGCTGTGGTGGCTGGAGGTTAACTCTGCAGATGAAATGCAGGCTCCTTTTTAAACAGCTGAAGATGATATCACCACTGGAAGCTCACAACATGGCCAAAGGATACACATAGAGTAATCTTTGATAGCAAGCACATTTCAAAGGCACAACACAACAGAGAGATTTGGAGAACAGAATGATATTCAAATCTTGTGACATATTTCATTTACAACAGCTGTCATATAGAACATACAGGCATGGTCTACTTAACACACAAGTGATGAGAAGTATATATATGGTCCACTGATTCCCATAAAGAATCAGAGCTGCAGACTTTCTAGTTTCTCAACCAAAGCAGCGACATCATAAGTACTCAACACATTTTTCATCTCCGTTGTTTATGGTATTCGGTGTCACTAACTGGCAGAACAATAGGGAAGCCTGTGGATCAGATTTCTCAGGCTCTTACTATGGTTTTTATTACAATTCAACGCCAATTACATCTTAAACAGCAGCCATATATGCTTTTCCACTTCTGAAATCTTACAAACAAGCTTCGGACTTTTAGCATAACCCTTGCAGGTAACTATTATGTCCTTCAAGAACAGCACAATGTGTATTATGATGCAAGTTTTAGGACTCCACCTGCTAGAAAGGGATGCTGGGAATTCATAGGTACAGAAGTCCAGAGATTACCTTCACTATTATAGATTCTCTGTACAAACTAATGTACATTATATGTCATTACGTTCATTTTCTTTCTATATTTGCCTAATTTAGATTGTAAGCTCTTCAAAGACAAGAACCTGGCCTTTCAAAAAAAACCATCTCTAAAGTGCTGTGTGAGTGCAGGGGTTTGTATAAATATCTACTACCAAAAAAAATAATATACTTAGAATCATACAGATAACCTTTAAGTAGACATATTCTATGAGGATTATTTCCAGAAGAGCATGCATACAAATAATGTATGTGTGCATACTGAGTATACGCTATATACTCCACCCACCTCTGAGTCTAGAAATACTTGGTCAACTGGCTGGAAGAGGTCAATTGATACTGCCCCATGGAAGTGTATGTGATTTTTGCCATTGATTTTGCTGGGAGGAGGATCAGATGCTTAATGAATACCATTTACTCATTTTTCAAAAACTCCTTCTTTAAATCTTTATGTAACATTTAAAAAAAATGGAAGGCTGTATTCAGCAGAGAGAAAGTTGGTTATATAACAATTTCGGACAAACTATCAAAACAGTGTCTACATTAGATTTTTTTGGGGGGGAATAAATGAAAAATGCTGATTGATTAACACATTTTTCTATATGTACCACTGTAAGGTCACTTGTGCACAGTTGCTCTCAGCTAGTCCAATATTCACAGCTTTTATTGCAAGATTTAACATTACATCAAATAAAGTTGTCATTTGTCATAACTCCCTTCATTCTGCAAGAGAGTCTAGAACACTGGAGATTCATTAACTGTCAAGAATACCTACTATATCCAAATTTAAATCTTTGTTTTTCAAGAAAGATCTTTAGGTAAAATATATTATCTTTGGATTCCCTTTGTAGTTTCACTATCATGTTCCAAAAAGCAGAAAAAGTAACCAGTGCATATGATATCTTCTGCTGGATAATCCCATTTTTAACATGTGTCATCCCATCCCTAAAGTATCTAGAGATGGGAGACATTCAAGAATGTTAATTTTAAGAGAGTGTTTGAATGGAGTCAGCAAGTGTTATTTAATCCAGCCAAAATATATAGTGGTTTATTTTTTCTCTCTCTCTTTTTCTGTAATTTTTATATTACACACACACAGTCTTTTTGAGGTGTGTGGGATTTTACTAATGGTTTCCTAAATTGCAAATGAAATCTGTTACATCATTCATTCCATAAATGTCAGTGACCTGACACTACAGAGATTCGTGTACTATTCTTTGTTAAGAGATTATCTAGGGCTGCTATCCTGGAACACGTTCCATATGGAATGAGATCAAGAGACTGAAAGCATTGGCAGACTTGTCCGTATCAGCACAGACAGTGGCAGACTGAAAAAAAGTGTTTACACTATGTCCCTCTCATAGTATACTGAAGTCGTCCAGAAACACAATCTGAAATTGATTAAAAGCAGGCATATTCTTGAAGGAAAAACATAACCGTCATCAAAGATGTGCTATGGTTAAGAAAACATCAATCGTATACCTTGGCAAGTTTTTCTCCTCTGAAGTTTAATGTCACAGCCTCAGTATTCCTAGGATTGTGAACTTCTATGTGAACTTCATCGTTATCCTCATATTCTCGTATCAATGCTGCTTTCAATCTGGCCATTTCATTCTGCTCACCATGCACTAAAATCTACAAGAGACAGTTTCACACTTAATAAGGGGTACGCTCTCAAAACAGGTGCACTTTATTAAATAAATCATCCAAGAAAGTTGCTGCTTTCCTGTGCATCATGTTTAAAAATATATGTAATTGTCTTGGGCCACCAATATAGGTAATGTCAACTGTACTACACTGTGGTCAGTTCCACATTTGCCTTTGTATTCTATCCATTATAGTTTGCATTATAAAAGTGCTCAGATACCATGATGAGTGCAGGTACAAAAATCTACATAGATTTCACTTATTTTAATACATGGACTAACTGCTAGTATTGTGTTATGAAAAAGGAATTTATGAAGTTCTTCAGTTTAACTAGAAAAGTCACAGTTAGCCATGTTTATATACATTTGTATGCAAGGCACATGTATGCATATATATTCATGAACTGCTCATGAATTTAAACTTTAAACTTCATTAACATTAATAAGTTTATAAATATCTCTGCCAAGATCAGCTTCCTTTTCCTCTGCTTCTCCCTTTCTTGAAAGGAGCTGCTGACACAGATGTTCCTTTTCTCCCTATTTTAGGTTCCAAATTCTACTTCTCATTTTCAAAGAGAATTCTGTCCCTGCTCTCATCGCCTCCTGCTCCCAGTGCTTTGCTCAAGCTTCTCCCTGACTGTTCCCCTTGTCTTCATTGGCATCGCTACATCTCCTTTCGCACTGCCCTGGTCACTTGGAACAAACTCCATCGCAAATAATTTTTACTAAATAACCTCTTGCTTATTCTTCTAAAATACCTGGAAACCCATCTATTCCATGATCCACTTTGGCAACAGTGACCAGATGCCACATTGTATTTGTTCTGTAGTGTATCTTATAAGTAGCCACATACACAGAACTTAACTGCCGCAACAGGGTATAGAGTAACCTCATCTCAGGGAAGTCACCACAACACATCCACAGCAGTGCTGCAAATCACCAGGTATTTAAATTTTGCTGGTGTAGCATGGTGAGAAGTATTTTGCCTACCTTTGAAGCAGCAAGGACTGGGCACTGCCAGAGGCACTATACTAGATTTGATGAACCAATAACACAACCTATATTCCTAAGAAATAATGAACATGCACACTAACCACATGCGGAGGTTTCAGTGCCCTGATAAACTCGCTGGTTTGTTGGTAATCCGTGTGAGCAGAGAAAGAAATGTAGTCTACAGACATCTTCAGTGGGAGCTTCTGCCCTGACATAGTTGTGATCTCTTCAGGTTCAGACATTATGTGCTGTCACAAAAGAAAAGTACTCTTTTCAATAAACAAGGTATTTGAAAAATCTTCTACAATATATCCAGTTTTTCACTTTTCAGAACCAGAAAAATAACTATCTGCAGTTGGTTTAAGTGGTAAATAGTTGAATAAATATACATTATAAAACATATACATTATACACACCTGGGATCAGTCATAAAAAAATTAAACACATACTTGCATCCTGTCCTTGCACCGAACATTTAGGACAGAACTGGGCCCTAATACATATGACCATAACTCTCACTGAAATCAATCCAAGGTATGTGTATCAATCTCTGATTGCAGAATTGGATTCTGAGATCCTTTATTGATTGCAACTTCAAAGCAAGTGAAAGTGCTAGGTATCCCAATCTGATCTCTGATGTAAGTGGGAGTTCAGTCATTGACTCCAGTGGGATCAGGATAAGGGCAAAAAATTGAAAGACTAGGTGGGAGGAGTGAAGGGGAGAAGTATGTTAATCACACTTTTTTGGGACAAGCTCCCTGCTAATTTTTTTAATAGTATATGAAAAGATTTTTTCATTTAAGAATAGACTGTTACTGAAGATTGTCATCTTCAATTTTACTGGACATTTCATTTGTTTTTGCAGGGTACAATTGGCTTTGGTTGTATTCAGTCATCCATACATGACAACAAACTTATTGTTTAACAAGTTCAAATAAATAATCCAATCAGGGATCACTCCTTTTAACGTAACATATAAACTAACTACCATGGCGGTCAAATGGTAATAACTCACCTTGGCAAGTGTTCCTTCAACACAGTACCCTGCTATTATTACTCCATTTCTCTTATCAGTACACCAGCTCTCGAACAATTCTCTGGATAAGCCACTCTGCATCATACCTGGGGAAGCCATAACGACACTGGGGCCAATGTCATCAAAGTGATCCATACTCTACAAAACAAAAAGCAAGAACATCAGTTTGTATAGTTGGTTAAAATAAGTAGAGCCTGACTATATCCCCTGATCCACATGCAAAAAGATCACACTTCATCCTCATGGAAGTCACCTCTTTGGCAGCGTTCCTCCCACCTTTGCCCATAAAGGACATTTTGTGGATCTCTGCAAGAAGAAAGAGTAAGGGAATGCTCCCTACCCCACCAAACTTAAGTATATCAGGTAGACAGATGAGATAGCCCCAGTACAACTACTGCTATTACTGTATGAAATAACTAATTTATATATTTGAATATTTTAAATTACAGAAGTATGGTTAGCCCTGCCTTATTTATTTATTTCAGATATACTCCAAAGAAAGCCTTATATTAGGCAAGAGTATGATTTTATATTTGTTCCAGAAACTAAACTTAAATCCTCCATAAACTTTCAGTTAAAGTACCTGTTCTAAGGTCAGACAAGTATAGCAGTGGCCCCACCCCCAAAGAGTACTACTGGGGGAATTCTGCGCCACTGCGCAGAATTCATATCCCCCGCAAATTTCTTTGCTTCCCCGCAGAAAAATGACTTTCTGACATGGAAGCAAACGGAAGTCACAAGAGTGGTCATGCAACCCTCCCCAGCAGTATGTTTCAGGTGCCCAGGGCAGGCATCAGAGAGGTAAATCACTGTGGAGCAAGGGGCAGGACTGGGAAAGACCTGGCTGGTGGCTCCTACCCTGTGCCAGGCTCAGCTGCTTGTCCTGGCTGAGGAGGATGGGACTTCCTCTTCCTCTGCACGGCATCCGACCCACCCCCAGATTTCTCCTCTGGCTGTAGGAAGCTCTGCAAACTCCCCCCCCACCACCACCCCCGAGCTTCCCGCACCCATCGCTCCTCAACTGCTGAGGAGGGATCACTGTACAGGGAGCTAACTCCCCCATCTGCCCAACCCCGGTGCATCCAGAATTTGCAGAATTTTAAAATATTGTGAGCAGAACTTTTATTTTTTTGGTGCAGAATGCCCTCAGGAGTAAAACAGAAGAGATCACAGTGAAATGTAATGTTAGGCAGCGGGCATGCACTCAAGAGGTTAGCCAGAAAACCCTAGAGGGAAGCCATACTTGGGATTTCTGTGGAAATTAAGCAGCATAGGTTGGATGTGCATAACCCATCCAGCATTACAGAATGGAGTTTAAAATAACAAAGATATCATTAATAGGAAAAAGCAGATTTATACTGAAAGATTCAGTTATAAACCTCTAAATCAATCAATGGCTTAAATTCCTAGGAAAGTACACCTACACACTAAACCTCATGTAAATGCAAAGTATTTGATACATCTTACTTCTGTAATGAAACACCCTTTATTTACACTCACCTTCAGATTACTAATGTGTTTGAAAACAAATGGATTGTTGATGTTGATTTGCTTGCGGATCTTGTCATTCATAGCATTTACATATGTCTGATACACTGCCATGCATTTCTTTGCCAAAGAGGAGGCATAGTATATTGGGATGTCATGGAGTTCAGGGTGATTCTGCCAGTATTCATCTAGAGGAAATTTTACAAGGCATAAATATATTAGCAGCTTCCAAACGTGCTTTTTTCAGAATCAACATTATTTTATAAAGCTAGGTTTTCAAACATTTCCAGTGCTGTTAGAGACAGGAAATCAAAGTAATAAGAAATGTCAACATGCCTCTTTTGACCTTGGCTATTTAGGAAGGGGGGAGGGGAGGGGGAGAGAACAAACCTGAAAAAGAGTAAAGATAAAACAAATTACTAGACAAAAAAGTCAAATCTCAGTTTTTCTCAGTAGAAGACCAGTCAGACTCCATATAACCACCAATTTTCAACCACCGCCTGTAAATATGCATGATGTTACAGAGCATTCAATTCACTTTTATAACAACGCTGTTTAAAGAGAAATGAGCTCTAGTGCATTACTGCTAATCAACAGGCTGGCATATCTATGTCAAATGTTAATTATAAAAAACTTACAGCTAGCAACAAAATCTGTAGAGTCTTGTTAGTGAGACTTCATGATATCACCACTAAAAGTTCTTCAAGCCAAATTCACAGATGTATAGAGTTTACGGCCAGAAGGGACATTAGATCATCTAGCTTAACCTCCTGTATACCACAGGCCATTAAAATTTCACCCACTTTCCCTGAGCCCCAATTCTGCCCTAAGTTTCACCGGTGCAACTCTAACCCATGAGCCTGAGAGAGAGATATCTCTTGAAGAGATAAATGGGGGGGGGGCGGGGAGAGAGGGAGAGTGGATAGGAGTGTTAAGTTAAGTTAAGTTAATGGAGATATCCCATCTCCTAGAACTGGAAGGGACCTTGAAAGGTCATTGAGTCCAGCCCCCTGCCTTCACTAGCAGGACCAAGTACTGATTTTTGCCCCAGATCCCTAAGTGGCCCCCTCAAGGATTGAACTCACACCCCTGGGTTTAGCAGGCCAATGCTCAAACCACTGAGCTATCCCTCCCCCTGAGTGAGTTGTGTCTGGGTCATTGTTGCTAGCAGAGTTGCACTCCACATCCAGACGTTTCTGGAATTGGGTGTGGTAGTTTTGGGGTTTGCTCCAATACGTTCCCTGTTGCTGTGGTTGGACTCAATGAGAGCAAGCTGTCAGGGCTGCCGCTCTGCAAAAGGCCATGTGAACTGTGGGGGTTGGGAGAAGCTAAGCCCAGGACCAGAAAGCAGGCTGATTTACCTAACTCTGAAGCATTTTGCAGCAGGTTAGTGAGTGACATTGTTAACCCTCCAACAGGGAACCATGGGCAGAGTTAATTATAGAAAGGGAAAATTGGGAGGAAAAATTAATTTATTTTAATTGTATACTTTGAATGTTGTTTGATTTTAGCCAAACTGTTTTAGTTAAATTGTCTCAACTAGTATGATTCACCAACTTTTCTTTAAATGTGGAGAAAGTCATTTATATTTTACTATTCTTAGTTTTGTATTTTCTTGTAACAATTTTTTTTAAAAATCTACATACTTAACTGAGTGATTGATTAATCAGTTAGCTGACTGGCTAACAGTGATTTCAGAAGACGAAGAGTCTGCCTGGATTCCAACTGAAATTCCTACAAGTAAGTGGAGGGAAGATGTTGCTTTTGACTCAGCAGAATATAGATCTGGTGATCAAAGCCTCTGAGACTCAGGTGAACTCAACCTAAGCTTTTGGGAACTCTGAGTTCCTTCTCACTGTGTTTCTGTGGGGATTGACCTGCTTAGATTTAATTTGTTTTCTTTATTTATGTTTATGTATAACTATGAAGATAATGTATGTGAATTATAAAATAGCCATGTCATGCTGCAAACATTAAGTTATTTATTATTATTAATTATGTTTCTTTATCATAACATTTATAAAGTTAGTACTTAATTAAGTTAATCCCTTTGGTTCTTTTTGGGACTTGAATGTGGGGAGGTTGACCCTGTGCATCCTTGCTCAAAATCCTTAGAGACTGAATGCTGGGTCTCCAGCTGCTTTTCTATGGGAGTTGAGTTTTTTAGGCATTGAAGGAGGACAATGAAGTGAGCTCTACCCACCCAAAGATTACACAACTATTGCCTTCCAATAGGTTTGAACAGGCATAAATATTGGAACTTATTGAACAGTTCTATTCAAGATGTACAACAGATTGCAGCTCACTCTCTCTTAGCTGTTTCTTTTGGAAGATTAACAGAAGTAGTAAAAACCCAACCTACCAAAACACAAAAAGAACTCCCCCCCTCACCCCCCCCAATAAAACCTCCACTCATTTGGTTACTTGATAGCAGCAGCCATGACCCCCCCAAAGACGTACAAGAAACTGGTCTGTTGAGTAACAGGTATCACTTAATTACTTTTAAGAGTGGAACCCTACTTTAAAAGTTAGGATTCCAAGAAAAGCATTGATCGTACTGTAGAACAGTGGTTCTCAACCAGGGGTCCACCAAGTAGGGCCAGTGTTAGACTCGCTGGAGCCCAGGGCAAAAGCCGAAGCCCCACCACACGGGGCTGAAGTCCAGGGCCCTGAGCCCTGCCACCCCGAGGCTGAAGCCGAACTTAGGTTGTTTTGTTTAATACAAATTTAAAACAAAAGGTTGTTTTGTTTAATACAAATACATTTTATATGCTGTTTTGTGTGTTTAATTACAATCCTAATGCAGTTTGACACAAATCATTACCTTGCTTGCTACCCCTTAACGCCGGCTCTGGCTTTTATATGGAGAAAACCAGTTGCTGTGGCACAGGTGGGCCGTGGAGTTTTTATTACATGTTGGGGGGGGGCACCTCAGAAAGAAAAGAGTTGAGAACCCCTGTTGTAGAATATAACAGGATATTCACAAAGAAAAATTTGGCCCAGGCACTTTCAACAGGTGGCATATACCCCCATCCCCCTCACTCAAAAATGAGCTAAGAAACTTTTTAGAGCACTGAGAAGTGTTCTTGGTGCTTTTACTATGCAGTTTGTACTGAGACACCCATTTAGGTTAAGGGTGTTTGTGTGCGTTTGACTGAAATAGTTATACTGGTACAACCTTTAGTGTAGATGCAGTTACACTGGTATAAATCTGCCTTAAAGCAGTATAGCTTATACAGGAATAGCTATACTAGTATAAAGGACCTTTATATTGGTATAATTGCACCCACGCTGGGGGACAGGGTGTGCTGGGGGGAGTTGTGAAACTTTTCTTTGTGGACAAGGCCTCACAGAAGAAGTCCGACAAGCTCCCTGCCATGAAACACTCACAATTTAAAATGTTAGGTGCAAAACAGCAAATAAAGATAACCCCCCAAAAAAGGGTAGGAAGGAAGGGGTTTGGTTGGACAAGCGTTACAATATGATCCCACAGTTGCAGCATATGCCTATCCTGATAGCAGTGGGTTTTTTGTTTGTTGGTTTGTTTTTAAAGTATAGTAATTCACTTCTTGGAAGAAGTTTATGAGCATAAGAATAACTGAGGTCCTAAATTAGATTAGGAAAACAAATGGAGAGGTCTGGAGATGTAGCCATATCTCTGTAATTGCATTTTCTACACAGTTAGGCACCCCCTTGTGTGTCTAGTTTTAGTTGATGTATTTTCTTTTCTTCTCTCTTTTTTTAAGAGGCATACTAATGTCATGTATAGGAAATAGAGAACAAAGAACTACAAATTAATGGTTATATTAGATTTTTAAAATTTATATTTTAAATATCCTTTGTTACAACTCCCCTCCCAAATATGACCAACTGTAACAAAATATATAAATAATAAGCACCAGATTTAAATGCTGAGCTGAGTTAAAATGGGCAGCAGGTTTAAAACAAATAAAAGGAAGTTTTTCTTAACACAGTGCACAGTCAACCTGTGAAACTTCTTGCCTGAGAAGGTTGTGAAGGCTAGGACTATAACAGGGTTAAAAGAGAACTAGATAAATTCATGGAGGTTAAGTCCATTAATGGCTATTAGCCAGGATGGGTAAGGAATGGTATCCCTAGCCTCTGTTTGCCAGAGGGTGGAGATGGATGGCAGGAGAGAGATCACTTGATTATTACCTGTTAGGTTCACTCCCTCTGGGGCACCTGGCATTGGCCACTGTCGGCAGACAGGATATTGGGCTGGATGGACCTTTGGTCTGACCCAGTATGGCCAGTCTTATGTTCTGACTCCAAGAGACACTATCACATATGTCAACAGGATTATCCACTTGTCTTAGCGTATGTGCAATGTGCCTCAGGTGGCCCATGACCAGGATTCATCACTGAATTTGGTCTAGTGGTTGAGTCATTAGCTTCCCCGGCTTGGGCCAGGTACTGATGGGAAATGCGATGTGAACGTTGATCCATGCCCCCCCGATCATCCACTGTGTGATCTCATACTCCTATTTTATAGCTTCTCCCTACGTGAGCTCTGACTGGCTCAGTTTGCATATTATGAATATTTATGACTCCACCCTCCAAGGAAATTTACTCTCCTACTCATGCAAAATCACTGATCTGCCCAGTAACTACCAGCCCTTACTTCTGGATGGTTCTTGGCACTTTAAGTAAATGGCCTTGCTGTCTCCTTGCATGTGTACACAGACAAAGATAGAAACAGAAATCAATTAACGTCTGAACTGCCTCCCCCTCACTCCTTGAACAACTAAAATACTGCAGTGCAAATGGCATGTGGGTAACCTGAGCAGAAGTCTTGGATTATTGTTAGTTCTTTGTTTTTCTGGACATGGGTGGGGGAATTATGTAACAAGGGAGAAGGAGCAGAAAGTGCAACCAGAAAGAAGCAACACTGGTTTCAAAGCAGGTCTCTGAGAAGAAGGGACAGCATTCTTCAGACTGTAGCCTCTAGTGTTTCAACATCTGAGTACTGGAGACAAAAAAACCTGCCATTGCTGCAGGCTAAAGAAGACTATTTGGGGATATTTTCAAGAAATTCCTGTACCTCAAGGTAAAAAAGGAACAAGTGCCAAATGGAAATAGTGCAAGAAGGAGACGCAAGGCCTGGCTGTCAGAATGAAACATTATGAAAAATGCTCCTCAGAAGGCCATGACTTTGAAGATGATATAGACATGTCTGAACAATTTGGATCAACTGGTTATTAAACTTGTTTTTGCACCAGTCTTATGGACTGTCTATCATGTTTTACTATGCTAGCAACTGATAATAGATTATGGTCATACATTTGTGTTTTGGTTGAATAACTGATGAATTTCAAAATATTGGTGTTCAAAATATTAATTGGTATGTTATTTTGTTGTGGGTGCATTATCACTTACATTTTTACAATTACTGCCAGATTTCTGAAATGATTTTTTATTGCTTAATATAATCAAATATCCTAGGTGAAGATTTCCTGATTGAAAGTGAAGTTTCATTATGCATTTAATAAATGTTAACATTTAAAAAAGAAAATTTCAAGCTGTTTGGTATACTGCTGGTATAAGCGTTTAAACAGATTAAGATAATCCTTATGATTTATTAATTATATTCCCTATAAAACAGGTTTTAGAATAAATCAGACCATTTAAACAGTGTGCAAACAGCTGCAGTAGGAGGACTCTTTCACTTAATCTCATTTGCTTTAATGCACTACACTGAGTAATGCTCAGCGAGAGAGACTTCTTTTTACCATTTTTTTCAGGCTCCAACTTAGACATAGGGGTTATGAACATCCATCATCTGCAATGTCTACAACTTCGAAGTCATGTGCTGCAACCACCAGCAGTACCGCAACTGAATATACTTCAGACAGTATTACCTCTATCAAAAGAAAGACTTTCCTCATCATCCAGTAAAAGCATGGATGAGTTTGTAATCAGGACCAGCAGATTCCAGCAAGACTCCATCGA